ATTGCTAGTAAATAAAGTAACAAATCAAAACATCAGAAACAAAAGCTGGCGCATGTTAACATCAATTAAAAACACAGATTAGACATGTAGGGGACAGCCAAATCCACTTCCACAAAATCTTGTCTGTAAGATAAACGGCCAAACTATCAGCGTGAATAGTGATTTACAAGCACCATTTTTGTTTTGACATGTCTGATAAATTAGACTGACGGCAATAAATTAGCTAAAACCATAGACGAGTTAGTTTCCAGCGAGCGCAGTGCTAAAAAAAAAAGAAAAAGAAAAAAAGCAGTGCATTTCACACATTCGCTTAAACATATTTGATGGAGGAGAGAAAGCCCAAGCATATTTCTGATAATTATAGACATACCGCCTGATTAAACGGGAAAAGAATGTGTAAATACAACGTGCACAAATGTTCCTCATTGGTAATATGACTGGGAAAGTCCTCCGTCTCCTTAAGCTGCTCAGACCTACAACATGCGAGATGGACTTGTGGCAAGATAATTGCATTGTGCGTGGCTCTAATTAAATGTCCAGAAGCAGGAAGATCCTTGGGTGGAGATTTGTGTGTGCGAGACTAACAGTGGGAGAGCGAACGTGTGTGTGTGTGTGTGTGTGTCTGAGATGGTGTACTAGTCTCCTCAATCCCCTCGTTCCCAGAGGGAGAAATGCTGCAATCACTCCATTAGTGAAAGAGGAAGGGGGAACAGAGAAGCTGGGAGGAAACAGAGAGAGAAGGATGTGGGGAAGAAAAGAGGGGAGGGAGGACAGGACACAGCTGACTTGGCCAATAACAGCAAATGAGGTTAGAAACAAGCAGAGAGAGAGGTAGGAGGGTCAATGAGCGTCGAGGGCATGGACACAATGACTCCAACGTGGGATGAGAGGAGGAGGAGGTGGTGGTGGTGGGGCTGAGTGACAACAGATGAGGAGGAGGGGAGAGGGGATGAGTTGTAGAGACAGATGGATGAAAGAGAGAGAGATGGAGACACAGGAAATGGTTAAGGTAAGAGAAGGAAGATTGATCTGTGACGTCAGGGTTGGAGGAAAGATGTGCTGATGGTGTCGCTGCCTCATTGTCTAAAGACTCGGCGCTCACGACAAGCGGTTCACACGTTGCTGTGTGTGTGCGTGTGTGTGTGTGACCGTGTCGCACTGAACCAGACAGTCGAGCGACAATCTGAAGAATCACAACCGGTATGGAGATCTATCAGACAGTCATGACACAAACGTTCACCTCAATAATGTTCCTCCATTAAGCAGAGAAGGTAAACTAATTACAAAATCACAACAGTAATCAAAACCAGGCATCGAGGACTGAAGGGCCCCAATTAACCTCACGCACGAGAGAGAGAGAGAGAGAGAATGAAATCATCACAAGGAGTCTGTGTGTGTCTAAGGAAGCAAAAACATTACAAATCAAGTGGGTATTATAAAAATGGCCTACTTCACAGTTTCCATATACAAATCATTCGTCTATTAAGAAAGTCCTGATTCAGACCTTGCTGTTGTTGTACCGTCTGTGATTTAGTCAGTCAATCCCCCTCAGTGACTTTTTAAGGCACATTAGTCTGGCAAATTTAAAAACAACAGCTTGTTTTTATATCCACAGTTAGCAAAATTACATTTTAAACCATGCACCCAATTTTGTGGATCTAGTATAGGGTTTTCCTTTCAATCGCTATGTTTTTCAGTCTTTACAATGTTTCAAAGAGAAAGGAAGACTGTGTTGGCTGCTGCATCTATCCATACGCGTGTCTGTGTGATTCCCAGCCAACTTTCAGAACAGAGAGCTGCTGAAACACCAGTCATCAAATGTTATGATGTTCAAAGCAAAACACTGCATTTATAAATCAGGAGTTGCTTTTTAGTAAGTTTAGTCAGCTCATGAATAGTTAACACTGTATGTTATAACCTGAATTATCAATGAGCCATATGAAAGCAAAGAGCAAACATGCTAACATTAGCCTAGGATGTCTACAGGAATCGGTTACTAAAACAATACTAAAGATACTCTCTAAAAATGCTTTTAAATGCCTATTTTTCAAAGACATGGTTTTTCCAAAAATAATTAGGAATTATGTTTCACAAAAAAATGTACAACTAGGAAGTGTATGCACACACACAACACTGATTTGTTCATTTTAATGAAATTTAGTCAATTTGGCAAATGCCCGGTAACTTGGATTGGTATCACAGATAAAAACCAAACAAAAAGAAAACAATCCAAACAACTGATACTTGGTATGTTTATAAAAATAAATGTTTGGCTCCTGTCATTAAAACTTAAATATAGGCCGAGCTATAGTAGAAGGTTAAACATTTTGTTGAAATGACTATAATGGCTTCCCAGTGGTCATCTTTGTAGCCGGCCAGACATGTTAGGAGGAAGGCAGGAGGCTGAAATCTATACAAGTCGATCAATAAGTCACAGAGGTTGCAGTGGTCACCGCAGCTGCCACTGTTGAGTAAACAAGAGGAGGAAAATGATTGTCCTCCAAGTCAAGAATGACCCCAATCATGATCTAAGAATTGATTCTGTTCCTCCCCTCTTATTTCTTTCTGTATTTTTTTTTATATATATATTTGCATGCGTTATTGCCGACAGTCCAAGTTTCTGTACAGAAGATCAAATCTGGGTATGAAGACAAGACTGCAGATTTCTCACACAACATGCGAAGAGGAAAAGAGTCGGCCCATCCCCACACAACACAGTGATGGTTTATACACAGCACTAATTGGATTCACAGGTCATTAGATGGAGAACACAAGTGACACTCTCTCAGCTTAAAGACTGGATCAGATAGGCGAGAAAATGGAGATGGCTGCGAGAGGGGTAATATCGATGGGGTTGTTTGGTACAGGACCAATAAAATGTTCTTTCCCTGTGCTGTGCCTCTGAAGCCCGGTTACACCAATGAATGGCAGGGGTGTTAATCAATAATTTGTGAGGCAAGAAATAAACGGTGGGGGGAGGACAAAGGCGAAGAAAAAGAAAAAGAAGAAGGGGGAGACGAGGGAAAAGAGAAGAATGGTTTCTGCTGTTGCTCCTTTTTTAATGTGTCATTACAAGGACGAACTCGTGCGATGACACTGCTGCACTAAACAGTACAGTGGTCAAACATTTCCTTTATTCCAACAAGGCCCATATAAAACAAGCTGGGAGTTTTTCACTGCACTAGCAGCAGCAGCAGCAGCAGCAGCAGCAGCAGCAGCAGCAGCAGGCCCTTTTTTGTGATTTGTCGCCGTGTGACAAAGTGAACTCACTTAAAAACACTGTAGTTGTTTAAAAAGCCAGCAGGGCTTGTTGTTTTAACATAGGAGGACAAGAGTGTAGTCTGCTCATACACATTCAAGCATGCAGATGGCTGGTCATTAATTACAGATGGACTGGGGGAGGGAGTCACAGAGAGACAGAAACAGAGAGTTGAAGGGAGAGGTCAGCTAAAGCAGCCAGTTTTCTGTCAGTCTCTCTCTCCCTGGACAATTACCTCTAACTGCCCCCGTACCTCCCCGGACCCTGTTAATCAAGGGGCAGGTTTGTAGCCTTTTCATGGTAAATTCTGCGTGCAAGAGAAAGGGGAACTTGCGGTACTCAGCACTTTCCAGGTACAATCCGATTAAAGTCACACTGCTGTGGGGAGCCGGCTGCAAGTCCTACGGCTCACCTTAAAACCTCCTGTCCACACAACAACCGACCTTCATTCATTTAAAACACGCTCTATCCAGAAAGATCCTCTGCACTTTTTAACATTTTGGTCAAGATGCAACCAAAGATATTTCTGTATTTTATTGGTACTTCATGAGATGGGCATGCTTTGGCTGCTACGTTTTTAGCTCAATTTATTCTCCCCATCGCACAGTTACTACAGAACTAATGCTATTCCCACAGCATGGTGCTGCTAACGCCAACACGCTTTATGTTGAGGATGCTTCCTGTGGCGCTCAGACACGACACCACATTTCAGTGGGATGAAAATGCAAACAGCACTGATATTTCTGGCCTTAAACATACAGTTTCATAGCCACGAAACGTGACGACAGCGAAACCACAAAAGACAAATTTTAAAAACCTAACAAAACTGCGTGTGTGGTTTCAGGTTCAGTCAAACATACATTTCGTGCAATTTCCATCCGTCAAGAAGAAACAAGCAGTTGACATCAAGAAATCCTTTATTACAGATGGCGATGAAACACAGAGGGACAGGAAAGCTAACCGAGATCACACTGTGCGCTACTTGAAAGAGTTTCTGCATGATCGGCATGTGGCCCTGAAATATTCATGATTCATGTGTGTCAGTGAAGCAAAGTATGTGAATCTCTCCAAAAATAATGCACCGTCTTTCATCTGCAACAACAAAGACCAATCTGTTGTGGTGAACTAGCATGCAGCGTTCCCTTCAGAAGACGGAGAATGTAGTGCAAGACAACAAACTACAAGTGTGTGTTTGTGTGTGTGTGTGTGTGTGTGTGTGTGTGTGTGTGTACACAAGTGTCCTATTGCTTAGAAAACAAGCCCCTCTTTGCTAAACTGACTGATCTTGATGAATCAGCCATTCTTGCAGCAAATTAAAAACTAATTTCTTTCTTTATGCAGGGAAAGAGGTAATTTGGTCACATTAGGTTGTAGAAAAATCAATTTAAAACCGGTGAGGGTTTCTCCTCCATTAAATCAATTAAGTGCATCTACAAACATCTATATTTTCATTACGAGCATTATTACACACTGCATGCAGTGGACTGCGAATGTGGTAAATATTCAAAGCAGACTCCCAGAGGGCCTTCCTGCTTGTCCGGGCAACAAAACTCGACACGAAAAGTCTTTTTTTTTTTTTTTTTTTTTTTAAATCAGCGCGGATGTAAGCCACGTGCACAAGCAACGCAAAGCAATTTTCCAGCATTAAACACCCAGCTTGATTGGTTTGTGCTGCATCTCAGGTTGGCAGGAAAAGAAGAAGAAGAACAAAAAAAGAGAATAGACATAAAAATCTACTCACCAGCTTGAAATCCTGAATGCTACAAATAAAGTATGGAGTATTGGGTCGCCGACTCTCGATGTACACACAATCTGCAAGTGAGAAATGGGAAGAAAAAGGGGTTTTAGAGATGATTTTCATACTTATCAGAGCTTTCATGATGTTAAGCAGTCAGACTTGGCAATACATTATTTCTTGTGCCGTTACCTCTGCTGAAAAGACATTTTTCTCCTCGAGTCAAATTCAATTGGAATGCGAGTAATAGGATTAAAGACTTTTGGAGCGCTACAAGGTTGCCTTTCCAAAGCAAACATTACGCTCAAGGGGAATTATGTTATTGTTCCACTCCGTTTATACACCAGTGAGCAACACTGACTTTAACCTCATCCCACCCAACCCCCACCGAGTCATCGCCACGTGGCCGTAACCATGGAGGCAACCTTGGAGGGGACCAAACCTGCAACTCGTTTGCTGACATTTGACGATTTTCCTCGCATTTTAAATCAACTTTTGACTACATTTTCTGGGATCAGTTTCAAAGTGCCATCCACATTTACTGGCAATCCTAGCAAAGATGTGCCGAAGGTCTTAAAATTATCTTTTACTTCATGATGTAGTTATGTTAATAGTTATACGAATGCAGCTTTTAGTTTAACTCGGTGTATTCATCCCATCATAAAGTAAATGCTTAACAAAAATCACCAGTGACAATTATTGGAGATCCTGTGTTCAATATTTGCAGCAGCCGTGACAGGACAGCATCTAGTTTTCTTCTGCAACCATTTGACAATGTTGGAACAGACAAACACAAGGATCTTTGACAGTTTCTCAGAGCCCAAACTTTCTCTTTTGCATCATTGTCTTGCTAAAAGGCCCACTGATGACATCTGACGTTTTCTAGCAGAGGCCACCAGACTTATATTTGATGTCTCCTGCTATTTTAAAAAGTTTATAACCCCAACAAGTTCTCCACGCCTTCACCCCAACTCGCATCACCAAAGACGTACTTTTCCATATGTGCAACTTTTGTTTCACCCCAGATCCACACGGAGTGTTTCTGCCTCCAGACTGTAGTTTAATCCCATCATATTTAAAAAGTCCATCTTGCTACAGATTCCAACAAGAAAATATTTATATTAAAGGAATTTTAATTGCATCAGTTTTGTTAAAAACTTATTTGACAACTTGTGATTTTTTTTTTCTCCGCTCAAAAGATTTGAATTCAATGCGGTTTTCAATGTCAGATCATGTTCCTGCAATAAAATCTGAATTTCTTTTTGTCCATTTTTTTCAACACTGTTTTGTCTTTCAGATTCTCTTGCTCTCTTGATTCTCTCCCATGATCACATAAAATGTGACGTCCCAGAGACGTCCCACTCAAATGATCCTATAGCATAGCACGTTTAAATTAAGAGGATATGTAATCCCCAAACACACTACATGTCTAACTAGCTTCGGATTAGATTGAGAAGGAAAAAAAAAAAAAAAAAAAAAAAAAAAAACCCCCCCCCCCGTTTCTTTTCCATTTTTAAAACGGTGGTTAGTGATGTCAGTCCTGTAGAGAGGAGCCGGCTGTGTTGTTGAATGAAATGTGACTGATGGTATGACCAGGTCGTGAACTTCTCATCTCCTTAACAAAAACATTCGCGCTGCCGAGGACGGAAACACACGGCCGCTTCTGCTGAGAAGAAAACAAGAGGAAGAGGAAACAACCAAACGGCCCTCTCCAGACACAACCGCGTGTTATTAAACTACAAAAGGAAGATTTCGAACCGCTAATGTCACACGTATTACAGCGTGTGAAACCGAACCGTGAAGAAAAGACAAATCTCCCTGCTCCGACTGATACAAAAATATAAAACACGGCTCTATATTGCTTTCTATTGATTTAAAAAAAAAAAAAAACAAAAAAAAAAAAACAAAAAAAAAAAACCCCCGGTTTTTTGTGGCCGCGCCACCGCCCTGTGAGCGCTCTCCCTCAA